ATCACTTCTCATATAATTAGAATTGGCATGATAATTGAAGTCATATTCCAATTGCAAGTCCATTAATTTTATTTTTCTCCAAGTCATCCCATTCAATTTTAGCATTCTTTATCACATTCTTCATCGAAGATAAAGTTTTATCTACAATGATTTAACATCAATTATGTAGAATTTAATCCATTGCAAGAAGTTCTCGTTTCTTTTTTCCATGTTAATTTTTTTCCAAATTGTCCAGCTTATTATCCAGTTGTTGATCTGAAGTTCCCAAAATTTTCCCCAAATCTCGTGCACGATTCGGCATCAGGATACAATCTACTGTTAGCACACGGACTTGATGAAATCGGGCAGAATACGGAGGCGGTTCGGAGCTCCGTCACGGACCTGAATCAGTTCGGTAAAGTGGTTAAGCTTGTTGCTTTTAGCCCCTTTGATTCTGCTCATGCTCTCAATAAATGCAATGCCGTCTCCGAAGGTAAAACAATGCAAAAGAAATAATTATTTTAAAACTGACTTTTATACTTATAAGTAAATGTGTTAAGCTTAGGCAACAATGCTTTTAATTACAGAGAGAATTACTATTTCTTCAAGAGTTTGCTTTTTGTCTTGTGTAACTTTGTTTAATTATTAGAATATTATTGAGCTAAATTAAGGATGGGTTTTGACTTAGATACATTCAAATTCTGAACAGACAATAACACCTAGCCTTCCAAGTTAAAGATGCGGCTTTGATTCCTTCTACCAGCATATATCCTTTTTCTAAATATGAGCACATTGGAACTAAAGGTTGATTGAGAAGGGAAAATGTTAAAAGGATCGGTTGATTTTGACCAAAAATATTTTATTATATGTCGTTTTTATCCGCCTAGAGCAGTATTAGAAGTACATGCTGTCAAATTATTGCGTAGTTCTTCTGTTTTAAATGAGTTGTTTGGCTCTTGAGCTCAGTCATAATGTACAAGAGAGAGGATTCTTCTTATTGTAGGGTATGATTGATAAAATCCCAATTCGAAACAATTACAGTGAAATGGATTAACACGGAAAAGGGGGAAGAATAAGAGTGATATGCAAGTTAATCTCACTTTCAATGCTCACATGCACCTTAAAGAAACCAACTAATCTAAGAATCATCTTTATAGAAGTGCAAAAATTTAGTTCTGTTTTCAGTTGAAAAACAATCGTTTTATATATTAATAATACATTTATAAATACTTGACCACCTCAAAAGCTTAAAGAAATTATAGAGGAGAAATTTTACCGACGACATGCCTCTCATTTGCAACTATTGTTTAAATGGTTGAAGAATGAGCACTGATTATTATTGCTAGCACTAAGACTTAGCCCCTGTTTGACACCCGTTTTCTTCTCATTCTCTCTCATTTTTTTTCTTTTTTCATTTCAACCACACATTCTATCAATAAAATAATATTACACACAAACCCAAAAATTCTCCTTATTTTTTAACCACACATTCTTCTATCAATCACTATTCCAGAATTTATTCTTTCTCCAAAATGGGTGTCAAACACAACCTTAATTATAGGAGGTTGCTGCCAGAGTGAATGATCTGCTTCAGAAAAAATTTAAAAGCTGAATGTTTTATTTGCTTATGTTTAAAACTGTTCTAACTTACAAGTCGAATCCTCTATAGGTTCACCTTTATAAAATAAGATGAATCCATATGCAGTTAGATGATCAACCTGAAGACTTTTTCTTTGACAGCTATCAGATAACGGTGTTAGAGCTGCCTTCTCAATCAAGTTCTGAAGGACAAACCAATAATTGGTTTGAGTAAAAGGCATTGAAGTGTCAGCTTATAGAAATTCATGCTCCTAATGTACTTGATCTTTCTGAAGATGTTGAATTTGCATATCAAGCTGCCCTTTGGGTATTGAGGTTAGTCCATATCATGTCTCATTCAAAGATTAAAAATGTGACACCATCTTTGGTGTTATAAGAACTAACCAATTTTCAGGGTTTGCCTGACCTAGGAGAAATTTATCCTCTTGGAGGCTCAGCAGACCGGTTTGGCTTGGTAGACCCTGAGACAGGGGAATGTCTTCTTGCTGTTATGCTTCCTTATTGTAGACGAACTTTAATGGAAGGTCTTATAAGAGATCTTCAGGTTCATATGACCTTTGTTTGTCATTCATTGAAGTTTATTTGTGCATATGGTGCTTGACAATAGATTGAACTGTCATTTATTTTTCTGATTTTTTATTGATATAGCCGATTTACATGTCTTAATTAGAAATTGATTTTCTGCTTGAATGCAAATTTAGTTTATAATCTCCGCCAAAGTGAAACATTAATATCAACCACACATTCATTACTACTACTCGTTATTATTCACACATTTTGCACTATTCCTCTTATAAATTATTTAAAAATTTGCCAAATGGAGGCTGATATGATGAAAACGTTTTTGACTTCTGGAAGGCTATAGAGTTCCTGTATTTCAAGTTGTATGAGAAACAATGCATCACTCCCGTTGCCATTATGACAAGTTCTACAAAAAAAATAACCATTGGAATATCACCTCTCTTTGTGAAATGCTCAAATGGTTTGGAAGAGGAAGATCTAGATACCAACTTTTTGAGCAGTTTTGAAGACATGATTAGTTCTTTTACTTTTATACTTTGGTTTGCTCCATTCTTGCAGTTTGTAATTATTTTGTCAATGGTCAACCCCTTGTTCCAACTGTTAGTGCATAAGATGGCGAGTGGACGGTGACTAGACCATATGTACCATTATACAAGCCTCGGTGTCACTGCATGCTATGGAAACTAGCCTATGATAAAGGCATTTCAAATGGTTCCACGATCATGGAAGAAATTGTGCAACTGTTCAGGTTTGCTTCAACATTAGAGTTATGAAGTACAACACTGTTATCTTGTGTACAGAATGAAAACTGATTGGGTGGTACTATTTGGAAGTTGAATGGTGTTTCTGATTTCTACATCGTCTTACAATTTTTGAGGTGAAATATTAAAATTTACATTTTAGCCCATGTTTACAATGATTTTTCCCCAAAATTTAGGGCATTTATGTAAGCTGCCCTTCCCAAATCCTAAATCCCATTTCTGATTTCCCTACCATCATTCCAATCTTTTGGATTGTGAAATTTTACCATATTATGGAATGTCATTGTATATGAGTTGTCCACTTCACAATGTTTTGTTTGAACTTGGTTTCTTCAACATGAGAAGATGAACTATTGTTTAGGATTTTGCATGTAAGTTTGTTCTTAATTTATTGCTTGTGCACTGGTGTCATGCCTATCTCATGCAACAATACTACAGAATACAAGTTGCAAAGTAAATGCAACACGGTATTGTAGTAATATTTCAATTTGTGTGTGTTTGTGTATTGGCACATAGAAGCTGCTAATGAGCTTTGTTATTTTTTATATTGGTAGATTAGGGAATAAAATCAACTCATACAATTTGACCGAAATTCAAAGAACAGGAAAATGGAAGTCACAATGATAGAAGTCTTCAGAGTGTAATGCATGCCATTTCTCTAAATTAATAACTTTAAACTTCTGCACATTCCGTCACATCCCCCTGCATAAGCTATATTTGTTTAAATCAATGTTTGGAATGCTTTATCTATTTACTGCTATGGTGAGAATTTTGTATGCCCAACTATGATGGGGTAGAAAATTTGTTTGCTTCTCCTCCCTCTACAGCACTTCCACCGGGAAGTTCAGCGAACCATCTGCAAAAATATTAATTTCTCTGCCCTGAAGGGTCCTTAATAAAGGAAAAGACTGACACAAAGGGGTTCAAGAATGTATATATCTTTGCCACCGTAATTTCCCCACCTTAAAAATCAATGGAAAATATTCCTACCCTAGATGGTACCAAAAAAATTGCATGGAGTGCCACGATCTCTTTGAAGTGAACATTCTTTAAACAATGGGACTCATAATTGTGGACTTTGATTTCTCTGAAGTATTCTATTTTCACATTGCCTAACTATGACTTGATTGTTCAACTTCCTTGGAGAGAATTTTAGGATATTTATGCAAAATTGTTCTCAATTTCTTGCTTTGATTGTATGCAGCAAAAAAAGCTAGCATTGCCTTCATAAGGTCAAAATCATTCTATTATTGAGCTTTGCGATGCCCAACAGTATTTGATAGTCTGATATCGCTTGGAGACAGGGGCAGATCCAAGGGTGAGCCCAGTGCAGCCCAAGCCTAGATTTAATAAATATTAATGTTAAATGGTTGTAGCCCACTGTTTAGCCCAGTACTAGTCATTAGCCCATTAGCCCAAATGAAAACCCATTACCCAATTAACTCCCAATTACCCAATTCTTCAGCATTTCCCAAACCCTTTCACTCCGGTTTTAGCATAAGCCTTCAACAGATTAGCCCCTGGGTTTCAGTCCTCCTCGTCTGTCTGGCGAAGTAGCGAATGAGAACGGCCGAAGCTCGAAGTCTTCTCCTTCAACCAGTTAGCAGTCAGCAGAATCAGGAAGAGGCTTCAGCATTCGGTTTCGAACCTAGAAGTTCTTCTCTTCACCGCTTATGCGCTTCAGCCTTCGCTCTTCAGACTTCGACTTCTTCAAGAATCAGCACTCAGCAGCCAGCACGTCATTTTATTTTCAAGTAAAATACTTTTATTTTATGATTTTCATTTACGATTTATGAATGATTTTCTTGGAGATAAATTGAGAATGATTATGATTTATGAATAATTTATAAATTGGAGATAAAAGTTGGTTATAAATTGATT